TTTAGTTGTTGTTTTTTTGGAGGACTTCTGCCCGGAAGCTTTATATGTATAAATAAATAAATAAATAAATATATATATATATATATATATATATATATATATATATATATATATATATATATATATATAAAATGGTATTTACTTGGGAGGAAAAATAATAAAACTAACTAAGTGTACGGAATGCTGTTTAAGTGATTCTTGAAGTCCTATTAAAAATGCAATTACACGAACAATAATACTTTTAGAGATAATTTTAAAATATTTTTTTTCATAAGACGTTGTTGTATTTAACAGCTATAAATGCAGTATTGTTATTATTTAAGTATTTAGATTATATCTCTCACAGCTACAAATATAGACGAATGAAAATTTTTTTTCCGAAACCCCTCCCCCCGTGATCGACTTGTGTTTTGCCTTAAGAGGTACCAATCCTCACCAAGATCGATGGCATGTAACCCATTCCTAAGAAATATAATTGCTCTTCTCCTCTTAAAACAGTACTAGTGAAAATAGAATTAGAAAAATTATAGATTGTCTGCAATTAAATTTACTGTTCCTTGTTTAATTTTTTTTTTGGGGGGGGGCTTCAGCCCGAAAGATTGTTTTTCATATACATGTAACGATAATTAATTTGAAAAAAAAGAAAGAAATTAACTACCTATATGAAATGATGTTTAAGTGGTTCTTGAAGTCCTATTAAATGTAATTAAACGAACAAGAATACTTTAAGAGATAGTTTTTAATATTTTTTTTCTGTAAAACATGATTATATTTTACCATTTGGGGGGGGGGGCTTCAGCCCGAAAGCCCCCCTCCCCCGTAGATCCGCCTGTGCCTCAAATTCCTTCCATAATTGGAAACCCACAAAAATATAGTTCCTTCAGGAAAATTCATAACTCTGTTAAAATGTACCCCCTGAATAATTCAAAACCACCACAAATATGCTTTCTTCAACAATTTTGATGTCGCAACTTGCGCTTCATGGCACCCCCATTTTTGTTTTATCATTTTAGGTATTCTTTTTACCAGTAGCGTAACTAATTTCGGATCACCCTTAGGCATTCAAAGAACGCTCCTAATCAATTCAGATACGTTTCCTTCTATCTACCTCTAGATTCGAGATATTTCATACCAGCACCGGATTCAAGATTCATTATTTCTTCTTTTTTGGAGGGGCTAAATTTTTTAAAACTCTATTTTATGTATATTTTTTAATAACGGTAATAGTGCTTTTATGAACAAAATGTTTATATTTTTACGTGACATGTGCTTATGCGTCATAATAAAAAAATATTGTAATTGTTCAAGTATTAGGCTTAGAATATTCACAGTATACATAGCAGAGGGACTTCACCCGAAAGCCTCCTCCCCCTTGAATCCGCCAAAAATACTAATAAATAAATAATTATTACATAATGTTAATGTAAATTTTGAATATAGGGCCAACAAAAAATTGAATGAATACAATTTAAAACATAATACGACTATTTTTATAAAGAAACCATTTAGTTTAATTTTATGTGATGGTTTGAATTTTAATTATTGTTTTTATTATAGAAGACAATTGTGTTAAATTAATTTACACTTATTCTCACCCTCTTTGAATATTTATGTTCTAACTTCTCACTACTTTTTTCTAAATTTAAATTTATCCTATAAATAAATAGTATAACCGGTTAACCATTAACCTTTATTGGATGCTCGAGGTTTTGTTTTTCATAAATATCTTGAAAATTATTTTATATCTCTTTTTGAGCAATTCAATATTTTCATATTAATAACCTATCAACCATATTATATTTACATTTTTTTTTTATCTTCAAGAACTATTACGATTTAGAATAATACCAAGTTTATTCGTTTATTCGTTGTTTTTTTTATATTGATATTTTCGATAGTTTTCATTTCCTAAATAAATATTTTTCAATTCGAGTCCTGAAACACTTTTCGGACCTCCGCCGCTTCAAGACATCACCGTGCTCACTTCGGAGTTATTTACACCTTTGCTGTTTATAACGTTTGATGTAGAAATGTTATTGACATAGCTATTAACCAAATTTTTAAAAAGAAATTATTATAACCAGCGGAGAAAATAATTGCGCAGTGCCTGTAGGTGGGATGGCATAGTGCAATAAATATTTATTTATCAATGCTAATGGTAATTATACTCTGTTTAGTAGTTTTAGGAAGGAATTAGAAAAAATTTTGAAGCAGTGGAGTAACTATGGTTCTAGAGGCCTGTGGTGGAAATAGAAATTTCCGTAGCTTGCTCTCTGTGTAGATAATCTTTAACTGACTTCACTCTCCTTTTTTAGCAGCGCCCTCCAAAACAAAAATTTCAAATTCAAGATTGTTTACTATCAGTTTTAAACCCACAACTAAATTCTATTTTTTTTCTTTCTTTTTAAAACAGAGGTTGTTCATATTTTTCCTTATTTAATAAATGTTTGATATGGCATATTGCTAAACGAGTTTTTAATCTAAATGTTTTCAGCCTAATATTTTATTAAATATTTAATATAGCCCCAGAATATGTTTTATTAACAAACATTTCGCCTTTACATCTGTCCATAGCCTTACATGGTAACCATGAGGATATTACTCATCTTTCTTTTGAGCGTGTATGCACTGTCGGATCCACGGGAGAGGGATTTCGGCTGAAGACCCCCAAAACTAAAAAAATAAATAAAAAAAATTGTCTTTAGTCCATATTTGTTTCTCTGAGCGATCTGAAATAAATACTTAAACAATCTGCTTTTTTTAAATTATAAACGCATATAAGCATGTGTCAAGGAAACAATATAAAAAAATTAATCCTAAAAAAAAAATTAATTCCTGTTAACATAGCTTTTATTTGTAACAGAACGTCAAGGGTCATTTAAATATTATTTTATGTAGTTGTTTTTTTTTTCTTCTAGAGTAATTACCGTTATTAAAAATTAAAGTAATTCCTGAATCTGCAACTGCGTGCATTTTTTTTTCTTGAAAATGAAAATTCATTACCAACATAGCAAAAGAGTTCTTTTTTCCGTTTCTTAAATGTTTATAACCCAATTTTTTTCGTACCTCAAATTAAAGCACTGGCTCTCTTATTTGGGCTAATGTCTTATGTGCCGCATTGTAAATCTGGGCCTGGTTCCGTGGCAACCAGATTTCGAGCTTCCTAAACCTGTGGGAATTTTAAGATGTGGTTTTGTGTTATACATACTAATACCATGTTAGTTATTAATTGTATCACTACAATATACAAAGTGTGGTTGTTCTTTTTTTTTTTTCAATCAAATACAGGATTCAATTTTGTGGGGCTATTTTATCATTTTGTTTTCAATAAAGGTACTTAGGATAATAATAATGCTTTTAGGGGTAATTTGTTTGTACTTTATCTCGGCAGATTCTTACATTTGATAGCTGAAGTATGTGTATTAAAAAAAAACAGTAAAAATAAATATATTGCGATTATATTTAAGTATTTGGCTCAGATCACCCATAGAAACAAATACAGACCAATGAAAACAAATTATTTTTCCCTTGATCTATTTTATTATTATAATGTTATGGTCAAAATAGTTTAAAACCTTAGCGACTTGACTTCAATTCTACAAAAATCTAATGTATCAAGGTCGAAAGGAGACAGAACGCTTGTAAACATTTATTAAAAATTGAATCATGATGGTGGTACAGGAGAAAAATAGTGGGATTTTTTAATTGAAGTTAAGTTTTTGATGTTTTTAATTTCATAGTGAAAATTCATTTTAATAAAATTAAAAACAAAATTCTGCCCTGTTTTTTCAAGTTTCGATCGATAAGTAATCCACCATTCACATCAGATAATGTCAACTTCAACCAAACTTTTACTACTAATACTTAATACTAAGTTCAATACTAGCGAAAAAACAACTTAAATACATATCTTTTAGGTTCGGTGCCATTTTTTATAAAATAGAGTCCTGTATGAATGCGTTAGTGAGGAAGAACACTTTTATCGTCAACGAAAGAGAAGTGAAAAAACGACATTCGATGAAAGAATGAAAAACCGACGAACTATATTATAATGATACATTTTAGGAAATTTTATGAAGTGGTGCATGTTTGGAGGATCTTGAAAATGGCTCTTGAGGCCGAAACTTCGAATAAATAAAACATGATATGAAAACTGTGTACATTTGGTGACCTTTGGCATAATATTTTATAAAAAACATAAATAAATTTTATCACTAACATCATTTAATCTCCGATAGACCCTAGAGCGATCGCAAGATTTATTTCATTGGAATGTTACCGAAGATGTAACTATGTATATAACTGGAAAAATTATAAACCAAAATTATATAAATATTTTGAAAGAATTAGTATAAAAGAAATAAAATGTTATTAGCAAAAGTAAACGATGTTTTATAGAGAAAATGTTTGGGAAATTTAACATGTCAATAACTCGAATTATTAGTTAAGATATATCCATTATAAATCCATCTTTAGGGGCGAAATGCAGGAAGGAGATTATACAAATTAATTTGGTATTGTGTTCTTTAATTTTATTATACGTTTCAAAGATCTGAAAAAAAATTAAATTAATTATAATGAAGAATAATTACTTAGAATGATCTGCAATGACAGCATTTAACAGAAATATATCTAAACATACAGAATCTTCAATGCCTACTTCCATAGTTTTATTTAAAAAAAATAAATTAACGAATATTACCGCTACAAATAAAAAAACAATATATATTGGATTGAATTATTTCGTATTCTACATAAGATAAGCGTTCAATGAAGGGTTCGATGACTCGGTAGACTTTATGACTACATTGTCGTAAAGACTTATCAGATTTAAGTTATCTGTCTATAAAAAAGAGGCTGCTTGAATACTCAGTAAGTTTACATAACAATGCAGATTGATAAGTATTACTTCGAATGTTTTCTACGAGAGTGAGCTGCTCTGGGGTTTGTGATGTCATGGCTCTCTTGATAATACTCCTCATCATGGCGGAGTAGAATAGGTATTGTGTCAGTTGGTGTAGTTTTTGATGGATTTATGTAGTGAAATATGCCAAGGAGACGAAATGGAGAAATTCCATTGCCTGAAGGTTGGGATTACGGACGGGATTATGACGGGAAAGTTTATTTCATCGATCACAACAACAAGAAAACTACTTGGATTGATCCTAGAGACAGGTAACTAAGTTGTCTATAAGAGTATTTCTTTCAGTATCTTTCTTACAATTGACATAATTCCGATTGCATTTCTTGACAGCATGTATCATCTATAATGTTTTCATTATTTACAATGTTTAACTCCTGTTTAAATATTTCGATGTAAATATAGTGCTCTAAATATTTCATGATGGTGCTGCTGTCTACATTAAACCATGTGAGCCATAAACATTTTATTCACATTAAAAGTGACCTTAACATTTTTTGAATGATTTTCATTTTAGGGATTATTTTCTTACTTCCTTTCATAAAGCTCTTTTGATTTATCCATTATTAGAGAATTCAAATACATCAGATGCCTAATTTAATATATTTCAAAAATCTATAATAGATTTATTTGCAGTAAACAAATACCTAATTATTATTATTCATTTGTCTCTTTTGTCTATGTTTAATTTATCTTCATCCCATTAAAATATCTAGTGTCATTGTTTGAGGGCAATTATTTGTTGTCTGTTTTAATTGAGCATTATGGATTTATCAGTATTCACCAATAGGTGTAGGATTAAATGATATAGATTACAATTGATTTATTTTCATGGGAAGGAATGTCTTGTATTTTTAGTAGTTATTAACTCCCCATAATATGTCTACTGTCAACATTTAGTTTTCTGTTATAAATGTATGCATCTATTGTGTGCAATTGTCAGTTCGGTGATTGGTAAATGTCAAATGACAACTGTCATTCTTTATGTATACTGTACTTTTTTGTCATGTAAACAAACACCTTTGCTATCAAATGTGTATCAAACCTGGTTAGTTGTTTGAATTTATCAATTTACATTATGGCAAATTAAATAAAAGACAAATTATAAATTTGAGATTTTGCTGTTTTTGAATTTGTTAATTCTTTTTGATAAGAAATTTAGTACATATTAGCATTTGATTTTGTATTGTTTCTTATGGATATAACTTTTTAATTTGCAGTTTACACATAAAAATATTTTATTCTTGACAAATCACATCTGTCAATTGTTTGTTTATTTATTGTATTGTTTTATTAACTGGATATATTATTGTAAAACAAGGTTTTGTCACTAATTGATTTATTATCAATATTCTGATGTCCTGAGTTCCTCACCACTGATTTAATTGTTGTTGTTTACTTAAATTTATTTTATCAATTTAATGATTTTTTAACTATCTTATATGCTTCTAAAAAACATTTATGTTATTTTTAATTTGCTGTGGGATCTGTTATTTTGAAGTTACAATTAATAAATATTTTATTAATGAGAATTGTAAATTGAGTTTTGTTTGATTATATTCTTTATTGGCTCGATTATTTCCTAAAATGTGGTTAATATTGTTTATTTGTTCTTTATAATGGATATATGGTGAAAGGTGACTCCATGAGAATTCATAAGTTAACCCAAACCTTTTTGTGTTGATAAATTTTTTATCTAGGCTTGATATGCCTTTAAGCTTTATTGAATAACATAAAATGTTAAAATCGAGGAAGTTCTACATTATCAGTTAGTTATCAATTTATTCTTCCGCAATTTTAACTATTTAGAGAACTCAGGGTTATTTTGAAATTAGGAGTTTAATTATAAATCTGCAGAAATGTAAATGTATAAATGTTCTACGGATTTTTTTCTTTACATTATTATGTTACACTGATTATTATTCCAATGATGCATTGACTTTAGATTATAAAATTGAGTAACATTGTAAGAAAGATGTCACTATTATATCAAAATTTATGTATAATTTGTTAAAAATCTTATTGAGAATAATTATTAGTGAGGCGCTATCACCTGATTTTTAATTGTAGGTATAGCAATCAAATACCAGTTATTTTCTCTCACTAACAGTTTTTGTGATGGTAAAGTAGCTTTTTAGGTTTATTTATCTTATATCTAAGGAGTGTGATTATTTAATCACATTATATTATGGGATGCATTTATTTTTTATTTGAAGTAATTAATTTTATGTATCTGCAATTTATTTGTATTGTTCTTGTTTTGTTTCTTTGGAACCAGTTTCATTCCGCAAGGATTAAAATATTTTATGGGATTAGTTTTTATACTGTCTTATATTACTATTACATTTTTTGTAATAGTTCACAAATGTCATTTCTGAATGAAGGGCAGACCAAGATCACATCATCACACTGTACACAGAATGCTGTATTTAGTCTGAAATACATTCTGGCGGATTCTCACTATGTCTCCGAACGAAGAAGGAGTTATGACCTCTGCAATACTTTTTGGATTGAGCATAGTGTGAATAAACAATAATGTATCTATTATTAATTCTGGGAAATTGGAAATTTTGATATCTAAGAATTGCCAGTAACTGAGAAAAAAGTTTATTTTTATTACTTCTTAAAATGAAATAATCCAACTATTGTATAATGAATATGAAATAACATAATTTTAACATTTCAATACTAAAGAATAAAATTGAATGAAATGTATCCTAACCTAATATAAATGTTGGGATAGCATAGAATAAAAGTGATGGAAATTAATCTAGCCTAAAGTAAATGTCAGTGTTATCCCCAGATTGTATTATCAGACATACACTTGGTTATTTTTGACATTCCATGTACAGTGTGATTGGTGTGATTTTGGCTCACGCCTCATCCAGATTCACGCTTGTACCATTTGTTAATAATAATATTTTATAAGATTTCTCCTCTACAAACTAGTGATTTTTATTGTTCAGTTTTTGTTTCATAAGGTCAGTAATTCAATTTAAATAACAAAATTTGGTATGCTTAGAAAAACTAATGTTTACATGAAATTACTTGTATTGAAATGTAAACTTTTACTATCTTTAATCACACTTAGTATTCTTGTGCATTTCAAGTTTCATAATTTCCTTGTCTATTGAATGCTGACAATGTACCATTAATTTTACCAAATTTAAGATCTTTATTAGCTTCCTAACTCACCATCTCTCCTCATACATAGTTCTGAAGTTCATGTAATAAGGAAATTAAATATCAATGATACAAATTTGAACAGTGTTGGATAAGCACAAAACAAGGAGCAAGTATTGCCATATAAATTCAATAACTCAGTGAATACGAAATTCAATACAAGAGAGACAGAGAAAGAGAGAAAATGACATAATTTACCTAATTAGTGAGGCTGGGGTGATGGAGGGATTCAGAAGTGATGATTTTGGAAATAGTTGAAGAATTGTTAGAAGGTAAAAATGTTAGTAAGTTTTAATCAATGAATTTTGTTAAGAGGACTCAATCCCATATTCATTAATGCTTGCGTATGATTAGGAGGGTGTGCTCACACCAAGTTAAAGCCTATAAAGTCTAACTCAAGGATTAGATGCGACTGGAGGTCTTGATATCTATATTCTTGGTATGAGAGTAGTTTTAGTAAGAAAAAATTGAAACAATGAATAAATTTGTTGGGAAAGGTTAATAATTGTAATTTAGAAAATAAAGGCAGAATGGGTAATGTATTCAAAAACTAGAATGTAATGACTGTTAATTAAATTTATCAGCTGTAAAAGGAGGATTTCTGGGAGATATTTTATTAATTGTTTAGGTAATAAATTACTGTTACTAGAAATCAAAATTTCTTAATTCAAAGCAATAATTATTAATCGATGAATATAAAATAATTCTAGAAATTAAATGCAAATAAATAATTCCCACAAGTTGGTGTTTATCAATTATATTAATTTTAATCAATTTTCTTTTAAATATAGTTATTTTTCACTTATTCAAGTTTGTCTTAATTTTTTTTAATTACTATGGTTTATTGATTTTTTTTAAATATTTGATTATGTTATATGAATTCAAAATAATTGGCTAAGCTATTTATGTAGTGGCCTTGCTGCTCTAGTTAATGGGCAGAAACCAGATCTTTTTTATCAAAAGCCTTAGTTTGTGTGATTGCTAATAGCTTATGTTGGCTTTAAAAAAAAGGGTATCACTATTGATCTATTAAACTCCTTTAAATATCTTTTGTATCTGTATTCGTTCATTTATTTCAACTTATTGGTTGATAAGTGTAATTTTTAAATTTTCCATTAATAATCTCAAATTTGTGTATTATTATTTTTTTAAATCTCTATAGATTTTTTAGGACTGTTAACATTTATTTTATAATAAAGCCACAGATATTTAATAAATTGAACGTCTAAGGTGAAGTATGTTAAAAAATAAAATTTAAATGTACTTGAAAAAAATAAATAAAATCTGATTTACACATTGTGCATCAATCAATTATTAGATCCTGATTTGCATGTTCAATTTTCAATCTTACCTGCCTAGAGAAATCTAATCCCCACAATATATCAAATCAAATGGAAGCCAAATATTTTACAATCTATTAATTTATTTTTTTAATAAGACACATGTGTTATTTTTAGTAATGCCAGTGTATTATAAATTTTGTTCTTTTTAGGTACACTAAACCTCAAACATTTGCCGATTGTATTGGAACAGAATTGCCATTAGGATGGGAGGAAGGCTACGATCCAAATATTGGTGTTTATTACATAGACCATGTGAAACGTAAGCATTTATTTTGTTAGTAACCATTACTATTTACTAATTTACGAATATGTGATGAAAATTATTTTAATTAGTTTTATGAAGTTATGTGTAGTTCTAAATGTTAATGTATACTGAACATGTTGTTGGTATTCTGTAAAAAGGGTGAATTCAATAAATTTTCACCTTTTAAGATTCATAATGTGATAAGTTACCGATGTGTTAAAACAGCAAATCTATAACTTATATATTTGAACATTCCTCTTGTAGATACTATCATATATCAATTGCTTTCACAGCATCACCTTCTAAAAAGTCTTTGACAAATATGGACTCCTGAAAAATAGTGAATTGATGGATTCTTTCTTTTTACAGAACCTTTGTGGTATGTGTAGTACTTTAAGGGAGATTAAAATTAATATTATTATTTCTTTAGAATGTACGCAACTAGAAGATCCAAGACTGGAGTGGCGTGCGATACAAGAAGCAATGTTAAGAGATTATCTGCACACTGCTCAAGATTTGTTAGAGGTATTAGTTATTTTTAATTTTATTAATTATTTATTAAAGATATTTATTATTTTGAAGCAGTTTTTATGTTAATAATTTTTATTATAACATCATTTTTTTTTTATAAATTATTATAAGCCTTCCTTTATTTTCCTTGCATTACCTAAAGTTACACGTTTCATCAATTTTAGGCCAAAAAGGAAATCTATGATGTTAAGCAGCAAAGGTTGTGCTTGGCCCAGGATGAATATAATCATCTTAATAATGCTCTCAGTACATTAAATACATCAAGGACAAGTTGTAAGTAAATCATTCAAGTTTCTCCTAGCTTAGTGAATGGTGTTTTCTTCCATAAGTCTCTTTTACATTTACCTTTTTGATCTTGGATCATCCAAAGTGACTTAAATATTTTTTTTTTCTATTAAATCCCGCGAATGGGATTTGAACTCAAGATATGAAATTTTCGCAGGCCCATTAACTCACCCGACCACCGCTGCCCGCTATTTTTTTGAAAACAGAAAAATTCTAGCTTTGAAAATAATGATATCACAGTTATTCAAAGTCAAACTTTGTAAAATCTTGTGTGTGCTTATCTCACGTTGTCCTGTTTTTTCAAATTGGGATGATCAAAAATCTTAGTATATATCAAAAAAATTAAAAACTCAATATGTTCATATTTCTATGCTGTGAGAGATTCTCTTTTTAATATATAGTATAAAATAAAATTAGGGGATACTTGAGTATCAATAAAGGATCAAAATTAGAACAATTATATAAACACGAATCAAATAAGAATAATATGGAGATCTCTAAGGCATATAAATTAATCTTGTTATAATTAATATAAATTAATCTTATAAGTCTCTTGTTTCATATAAATTAACTGTTAACAGCCTGTTACTTGTATTTTTCTAATTAATATTATATTGTTGATATATTAGATATATTATATATATATTATAATTATTTTATTGTTCATTTTCAGTGTGCTCGAGTTCAAGTTCATTAAGTACCAAATATGATCCTGACCTTCTTAAATCTGATGTTGCACTTGCAAAAAGTAGAGTATCCCGACTTAAAAGGGAATTGGAACAAATTAGAGCAGAAATGTCTTGTACTCAGCGTGGAGTGGAAACACTATCATCGTAAGTATTTTCACTATCTGTCTTTTCGAAACCCAACTCTCTATCTTTCTTAACTAAATAGGAAAACAAATGATGATTAAATATCTAGTTTAGAATATTTATTATTTTTTGGGACAATTATTTTTTTAAAAAGCAAAGCTTAAAACCATTTTAACTTTAAAGGACTTAATTTAGATTGTTGGGCAGATTATTTTGAAACTTTTTGGATAAATAGCCTAAAGTATAATCAGTTATAAGCAGAATTTTAAATTAGAGCTAGTTGTCCTCTAGATAGGTGTGGAGGCATGGCATGGCATCATGCATCAATAGTATTGCTTCATTGGAAAAGCATACTGCACTTCCCAACCTATTAGATGTAACTTTTAGGTTAGAATTTTCGTTTATATTCTTTATTTCCGAGATAAATTAATATTTTTTATTTTCTATTTAAAAAGGAAATTAACTAGTTATTGCCAAAATTTCGCTCTGAATAATAAACCATATTAGGTTGTTCTACCCTGCAAGATAGTTTAAAAATATGATTCTAAACAAAAATTATTGTTGAGCATGAGATAAATTTTGTTCGAAAGTGGTTCTCCGGTGAGCCGCACCACACATCTTCACTTACTTAGTGGATGACTCTCTTAAGAAGATTACATTAAACTGTCCCGGAAAGTAAAAATAATAGAGCATGTTAATGTTTTGAAAGAAAACTTTTAGGGTGTATAATAGGGTGAACATTGATAGCTCAGCAGATATAAATTAATTATTGCTTTCCAATATCATGTCTATTTCCAGTGCTTGAGAAATATTTTTGTGTATAACTTTAATATTGTGAACACTATAATTTTCTCCCTGGTTATAATTGATGAGGCCTTAGTACAGTATATGCATTGTACTGAATGTTTTGGCCCCTCTGCTGTAGCTGTATCCCATGTGGCTCATGTGATTACCATAAAAGGCCCATCCTATTTAAAGCCAAATACATACAGAAAAGTATTTAAAAAATACACTGGCATATAGTGGCTGTTTTTATATAAGCAAGTTTATAATATCCTTACTTAGCTTTGTCAAAAGATTATTATCATGTACTTATTGACTAAAATTTAATATAAATATGGTTTTTCTTATTCTTTACAGTGTCGAACAAAAGTTGAATGGAGGCTGCTACAATATAAATGAAGCTCAAGCTATGGTCGCAGAGCTCCGTGAAATCCAAAGATCTTTGACTTCTGGTGAACAAGAACGTTCTGAATTGATGAGATCCTTAGCAAAACTTAAAGATGACTTAACTAGACTTCAGTTGGGTGAAAGTTCTCCTGATGTTAGTACTTTATCTTTGCCTAGTTCAGTAGGCTCTACAACACCAGCCCCTCCTTCAGAAAAATTGTCTACAGCATCACAAACTGATTTATCTGGAGAGGTATTTTATTATTGTTTTATTTCATTACAATTTCTGTTTACAAACACATACCATTCCATTGTCTGTGATAAATCATTGTTTTTTGGTTTGATTTTATTAGGTTATTTTTTTTTATAACTTTACCTTCTGTGTAGTACCACAAAAGTTAACAATTCCCAACAGACTAACTTGCCACAGCATATTCGTATTTTATTAATTCAAAAATGCAGAGCAAGATCAAAGTGGAATAGAACTAAATATCTAACAGACTAAAAACATTAGACCCAACTGACTAACAAACTAACATCAGAAATTAAAAAAATTAAAATTCTAAATTTACTCACTTTTACTGAAAAACTGACAACTAACGATAAATCACTATAGACTACCACTAAGAAGCTCCTAAGATTTAAAGATCGTAATCATCCACTTCCTACTGAACTTTAAACCTGGTTCAAATCTGACAAAGAAAAGTCCCAAATATTTGCTCACCATCTCTTCAGAACCTGTAATCCACATCCTGATATTCTTAATCCTTATAACCTTGAATGTATTAAAGCAGAACTGGATATTCCACTTCAAATGACTCTTCCACCTAAAGCATTCCATCCTTCAGAAATATCCAATATCATTAACAGAACTTCTCGCAAAGCTCCTGGACACGACCTGATTACTTCCCAGGTCCTAAAATTCCTTCCTTGGAAAGCCATTCTATTCCTTACTTATATATGATGCAGTACTCTGTACCACATATTTTTCTGACCCTTGGAAATTGTCCATTGTCTAAATGATTCACAAACCTAAAAATCCACCAGAATACCCATCCTCTTACCATCTTATCTCTCTTTTACTCATCATGGGCAAAATCCTGGAAAAACTCATCTTAAAACACCTGTTTTCCATCCTTGATTTTAACCACTTTATCCCAGATCACCAATTTGGATTCCGTACATCTCATTTCACTATCCAGCAATGTCATCGTGTGGTAGACGTAGTCTCCTCTTCATTGGAGCGCAGAATGTACTGGACAGAGTCTTTCTTGACGTTGAACAGGCGTTTGATAGAGTCTTTCATCCTCAACTGATGTACAAACTCGTAAATTCCTACCACCTTCATACATCCTTATTATCCGTTCCTACCTTATTGATAGATACTTCAAAGTAAATCACAACAATACCTATTCATCTCTTTTCGCCTAGTCTGCTGGTATTCCTCAAGGTAGTGTCCTAGGTCCTATCCTTTACACAGTTTTTACAGCTGAGATCCCAATACCATCATTAATACATATGCTGATGATACATGTATCCTATCTGTTAATAATGATCCATCGACTGCATCCCAAACTCTCCAATCACATATCACAAACCTTGAAGAATGCTGTAAAAACTGGAGAATTAGAATAAATTCCAATAAATCCCATCAAATTACCTTTACCCTGTGTCACAAACCTATGACCTGTCCTACAGTATCCTTTAACAATTCCCCTGTTATCCCTGTTAAACAAATCTGTTATCTAGGACTCCACCTGGACATATGACTCACATGGAATCCTGAAACTACAAGAAACCGCTCGATGTTTCTGACTACTCCAGCTCTTACTAGACAAGAGCTCTAATCTTTCAATCAATTACAAAAGACTCATATACATGACCGTAATAAGACCTGTTTGGGCTTTGGGGCTCCACTAAACCATCAAATTCCTCTCTTATGCAATCTTTACAATCCAAAATCCTTGATAAAATCCTTAGTGTTCCTTACTTTTTCACAAATAAAATCATTCATAATGACCTTAATGTTTCATATGTTTCTGATTTAGCACAATCTACATACCTGTCCTTCCATAACAAACTACATTACCATCCGAACCCTCTCATTTTAAACCTTGCATTCTCTTCAATACCTGATAACCTACTAAGGTGTCTGAAAAAACGTACCATATGTATATGTTTCTGATTTAGCCCAATCCAGATACCTGTCCTTCCATATCAAACTTTAAACCATCCGAAGACTCTAGTTTTAAACCTTGCTTCCTCTTTGATACCTGATAACCCTCCAAGGTGTCTGAAAAGAAAATGGCCTCGTGATCTACTTATGTAAATACATTTTTAGAGTGCTACCAGTGGGTAGTTTCTCTACCAGCATTTTCATGTGATTGTATTATTCCTGTGTACACACTTACTAGATGTATTTTTAATTTAATACAGTTGTAAGTATGAATAAATAAAAAAATAAAAATACCTGTTTATTATTTGCTCTTGTATACTCAACAATTCAATTTTGCTTTAGCTTGCACCAATGGGCACTAGATTAGCTACAATGGCAAGAATGAGATTGGAATATGACGAAGCTCGCAAAAGGATACAGTTTATACAAGGTCAGCTTGCTGATTTGGAAGAAAAAGTTACCCCAGGACAAGCAGAAAGTGATAAAGACAGGTATGGTTTCTATTTGTTTAAATATACCTAACCTTATCTGAGTATTTCATTAACTTTGCTAGAACTTTGTTTAACATTTAATAAGGATGTATCACATTGTAGTGTTTGTTGATCAACTTAAATGAATTTGTTTATCATCCTGAATTGAGCAAAATTTAAAACTATAATAATACTATAACATGTAGCCTGGATAACCCACAGCCATTCACTTATTTGTAATCATTATTATAATATTGTGTATAAAAAAAAATTACTATTTACCATATTCAAGATTTCAAAGGACTGTAAGGACCCTTTAGAGCATTCTCCAAGCTTGTTTATTCCCATTCAACTTCTTAAAAAAAAGCCTCAGTTTAATTATTTGTTTCAAAGAAGAAACATGACAGTGTCCTACGAAATGATCATATTTTTAAGCCATTACTGGAAAAAAAATTTCACATCCGCTGAAGTAACTCGTTAAATTATTAAATATGAAGGGGAAGGTGTCCTTGATGCACCGCGCGGCATTGGTTTGAAAAAATTAGCTGTGGAGATACGACGTTGCGAGTGGAAGAAGGGCTCCAGGTGACCCCTGAGGTTCTGCAGGAATCTGTTGAGTCAAATCTGTCCGCAAGTACTTGTGAACCTCCAGGGATTGTGGTGTGTCGAAAGATACTGTTAGTCGCCATCTACTCTCCATCGGTAAGGTGAAAAAGAGCAGTAGACTGGTCCCTCATGAATTTACTCCTCAGCAATCACCTAAGAGGTTAGAAATTTGTTAAAATTTATTGAAAAACTCCTGCCTTATCCACTATATAGTCCAGACCTTGGACCATTGGATTACTACTTATTTAAAACCACGGCCCATTTTCTTCAAGAATAAAAATCTGATAATTTTACAGAAGATGAAATTGTGGTCCAAGAGTTCTTTGACAGCCATCCCAAAGAAAAGTATCATTGTGGGATCGAGCATTTGGCTAATGACGTTAGATAACAATGTACTATACGTTTATTAATTGTATTTTATATCAAAGAAATAGTAAGACAAATATTTAGTTAAAAAACGGTCATTTTGTTTTATACACCCTATTAGTTCTACTACTCAGGAGCAAGTATTAGCTTCCTCTAATGCTTTTCTGTTGATAGTTGTTTTAGCCCACATTTCTTGCATCGCTCTCACACACCATCCATCTATCTGAATCTTGGACTGCAGTCACTCAATGTCCATGCAGTCTTGTCAATAGTAACCAAGGAAGTAGTGCATTTTTGCATCATGCCCTGCCAAGGAACTTGAAATTTTTTATCCAGTACCTGTAGCGTAGTCTAGGTTTCCGATTAGTAGATTTGTACAGAGTTGATTAGAATTCTATATAAAGTTTTTTTGTTTGCCTTGATATTAAGTTTCTCAAAATGATCTTATTCAAAAATAACATTTATTGGTGGCCAGTCTATTTTTAAACTCTGCCCCTTTCTTACTGTCACATGTTACCTGTGATCTCAGGTAGGTGAATTTGAATACTTGCTCAAACATGTAAGTTCCAAATGAAACATTCATCCATCTTTGCTAGGTGTTTTTTCAGAGGCCATATGAATGATATTTGCAAGCTATTGAAAGAATGAATTGTTTTGTAATACTTTTTTTTACGTTCACTTACGTATGTATGTAATATATATTAATTTACTTTTTTATTTTCCTAGGTTATTGTTGTTCCAAGAGAAGGAACAATTATTACGAGAGCTGCGAAGTATTACTCCTCATACTAGAAGTTTGAAAGAAATGTCAGATATTCAAAATGAAATTCATAGATTAGAACAAGACCTGAATACAGCTCTGGAGGTGTCTAATCGCACAATAACTGACAGGTTTGTTGATCGGTATTTTTAATCACTACTTTTTCTTCTTTTTAAATATTCTTCTGTTATAAATATTACTTTTTAAAAATATTTTAGATTACGGCTTCATGAAGAAAAGCAAGTTTTATTGTCTGGACTTCGTGATGCACTCCATACGATGGCTTCATTAGAATCTCAATTAAGAACATTATCTGCTTCAACGTTGTCTGTTAGTTCAAGTTCAAGTTTAGGTTCTCTATCTACAACTAGCAGTAAAGGATCTTTATCGTCTGCTATCAGTTTTACTGATATATATGGGGGTGCACATTGTTTAAATCCCTCTGCAGATCGTCCTATAGATATGGTAGATTTGCATAGAAGGTATTTTTTACTTTATTTAATTTTACTTTGAAATATTTCTACCTAAATAATTTAATTACTGGTGTATTGTGTCCAAATTTGCTTGATATCTGATTATTATTTTATGAAAATGTTTGATAAATAATATAGACAGTGAAATAGACATTTAAATGATTACTTATAAAATTATGTCCTCATGTATTTTCGTTGTGTTTATATTTATTAACTTGTTCTAGGGTTGAAAGGCTACTTCAAGGAGATTTTTGTCCTCCTCCACCTGCTTATGAAGCTCTTCCACCTCCTAGTAGATCACCACCTTTATTTCCTATATGTGAAACTTCACCTACACCACCTACTGCTTCTGTTTCTGCTGCTGTCAGTGATGAAAGTGTTGCTGGAGATTCAGGGGTTTTTGAGGCTTCACAACGTACATTAGATATGTCTTTAGATACAGCTCAAGTACAAATAAAGCTCAGGTATCTCATCTAATGTTAAATATATTTAAAGGTTGCTTAAGTAAAATAAATACATTTGAATTTGTATGAAACCTAATTAGCTGATGGAATATTTAAAAAAAAATTATGATTCATAGTTATATAATATATATCAAATGAAAAGTAGGGTAGATTTAAGCTCTAAATTACATTAGAAACTGTTTGTACATTCAATATGTATTTATTTGTGTTTGAAAATTATACCTATGCCAGATATTGATGTTTGTAGTGTAATAGAGCCAGACAATTTTATTGAAAATATTTAACCAATAAAATACCAATGATTACCATGTTTGATAATATTTGAATTTAGGTCGACTATAGTTCAGAATTAATATTGCTTTGATTTGTTAGAAAGAATTCTTCTTCTTGATCCTATTGATCCTACCAATCATGAATGACAATCACAAGACTGACAAAGATTTCTTCAATGATGATGAAAAATTTAAGTAATCTACTTATAAAAATTAGAGAAAAATGTTGCGAAAATAATAAATTTGTTGAGAAAAAAGTATTAAGAACTGACAATTTACATAATAGTTGAAGATAATTTTTTTTTATAAAGAAATTGTGTAGTTTTCCACTTTTTTAAAAAAATTTTATTGCGTACTTGACTATTTTAAAAAGAATTAGTTGAAGTTCGTTTATAAAAATATAATCTATGGATATGAAAAACTATTTATTTTAAATGAAAATCAGAAATGTACAATGGTTATGAGGCCTAGGTAAACTATCCTACCTAGTAGTAAGGTTAGTCTCCCTACTACTTTTACCCCATTTACCTCCACTTCTTGTGATTCAAGCTTTGATTTCTGGATTTTCGACTATCCATTAGTCACATCCATCAGTACTTCAATCATAACCTTACAAGATCAATCCAATGTCATTTTGACTGTCTATGTAAGGTCTGCTTTAGCCTAGATCCATCTGCTCCATTTGTTGGGATTGTTCGCTATATCCTTCATTTCTGTCAGAGAGCAACCTCTTACTCTCGCAAGCCTGGTGAGATAGTTCCTATTCCTCTGCCTCAGTTGGCCTCGTGGAAACTTTTCTTCTGGTTTGGCTTCCATCAACAATTTAATCTTTTTTTCATGACCTATTCTTCTCATTACAGAACCATTTCATTTAACACTGATCCATTATCTCCAACTGGCAAGACCCCGAGGTTCTCTCGGATACTTTCATGACGAATCCGTTCCCTTTTGGGACCAAGCACAGACATATTGGCTTGTAGTTGTCACAAATGGTTGAATTTTCTTTCTTATGGGTGAAAATGGTAATATTATTCTCTCATGCTTAGGGTATCCGTTTTTCGGTCCAAATTCTTTGGAACAGGCTCTAACATTTTGACCATATCCTCTCTTACATGCTTAATGAGCTCTGGTGCGATTTCATCAATGCCGGCTGCTTTATCCACCTAAATTACTGGTATCCATGTTGTCCGAGAGAGTGCCTGGTGATCTTGTCCTTCTTAGATCAACAAACTCATTTATTCTCCTTTCTTTCATCGAGAACCTTTCCTAATAATGGGTTCGCCAATTATCAAGGATTTAGTCCGTCCTCTCTTGTGATAAGATTTCCCTGTCTGTCCTTGATGCACTTGTTTTCATGCTTGTCCCTTGCACTCGTTTTCTCTTTACCTCTGAGTAACTCTGCAGTGTTCCAGAACACTCTTATATTTTCTTGGCAGCTCTGTTCCAACTTCTCATAGTTCAAAGATCTGTTCTGACCACTTTTCTTTAACTTAAATTATCTTCGCAATTATATATGAAAAAAATTTGAGTATTTTTGCATTTTTATTGTTATAAACTAATCTTCACCAACGAGTGAAAACTGAAAATTCATGCAAGTACCCTATTCTTGGGACTCATTTGGGATTTTGTCAGATAAGCTCGGAGTCACATGTTTTCTTATCAGTTCATGTCTTAACTTATAATAAACTTTGTATAATGTATATATTTACATGTATATATATATATATATATATTTTTTTTTTTTTTTTTTGTTTTTAGGTATACTGTAAGTAATTTTATTCTTCATATTGGGATTGAGAAAGCAAGGAATCTCGCAGCTCTTTTTATTCCAGAGCAATGCCAAGTGTAAGAAAATGTTTTTAATTTAATTTTATTTATAAATGATTTTATTTCATACTGTGTATTATTTAGTTTACATCTATTTGATTAAATTTAGATTTAAGTATTAACAAAAGTAAAAAGAGTTTTCTTTAATAAAACCGTAATGTATCTTTTTTTATAAAAGTGGTTGAGGGCATTATTGTTAATTGATGACATTTAAACCACTGTTTCTGAATTATTATTTTTCTGTTTCTGATGTTAAACATCTATATTTTTTTCTTAGCCTTTTACATTTAGTTCTCTTAAGTAATGTTAAACACTTACTTATCATTTATCATTGTAAAAATAAGTGAAATAATAAATCATGGACGGTAATAAACCAAGTAGTGCTGTGACCAAAATACTGGAACAAAAATACTAATTCTTCTGTATTATTAAAATAAAATGAGATTGGTATTGGAACAAACTTTATTAAAAAGTTTTTTGTGTACAATTAGCATTAACATTGATGGGGGGAGGGGATTAATTTTGTTTCTAATTCAGACCAGCCTGTTCATTTTTATTTCTATTAATAATAGTGACAACATAAAATTAATATTGACCCATGCATGCTAAAGTTTGAGTCACAGGACGATTGAACCTACCATTTTATGGCTGATAATTCTTGAATTAATTCATACTTCTGAGGTAGGGAGCTTTGCATGGGATGAAAAAAAAATTGATTTGGAATCATTAAAATAGTTTCACTTAAGTGTATAGCCTGATTGACTTAGACATATTAACTATAATATGTAACATACATTTTTATATATTTAAAATAAATTAGTTTTTATTTATCTAGTTTATTTTTTATGAAAAATCTTGATGTACAATATTTTTGTAATTCACATAATTTTATGATTTTTGTAATAACATTTATCATTAGCATTAGCATTCACTTATTATATATCTAAATCAAATCAGTGTTTATAGAAAATATTTTTATTAAATTAATGGTTTATAGAGAAATTTAACAGATACCACTAAGAACGGATCTGAGAGAAGAATAAGTTTGTTAGGATGTATTATTATGTGTCCTGTTGGCTTATTTAAAACTCAATCTTAATTTTTTTTATATCAGTTTTTGTGGTAAATGATTTATACATAATACAGTTTACTCTTGTGTTGCAGGTACATAAAAGCAACTCTTCTTCCAAATAGTGCACAGAACTCACTAACTTGCTGTACTAAACCTATTTCTGAAATCGATAAGGCAAAGTTCAATGAAACCTTCACATTTCAAGTACCTCTTAATAAATTATGCACAAAAACTCTTCAAATAAATGTTTGTTCATTGGCTGCTGAGGGAAAAACGGAATGTTTGGTAAGAATATTTTCAGTTCTTTATCGATGCACCTATAATTATTTATGTATATGTCATGGTTTTCCTTTTAATTAGTTAAATTTCTGGGTTAACATTATCTTTATTTTCAATTCATCTTTGAGAAATTTGATTGTTGACTAGATTTTTGTCTCTTTGTTTTCATTTGTCAGTAATTGTATTTAAAGGGTAAACATAAATATTTATTTGTGTTTATAGGGTTGTGCCCAGGTCAGCTTAGCCGATTTTACACCAGAATGTACTCTTCTTAAATGGTACAATATTCTGAGCTTAAAGTTAATGGTTGGCGAAACTCAGTTTATGAGGAAGGAAATAGGAAATAATGAAAAGCAATTGAAAGAGGAAAGCAGTGATGAATCCACTATAATTTCTTCACAAACATCAACTCTCACTAGAAATCAAGGTAATTTTTTTTTATATTTTGTTTATTTTTAAAATATACTCATAAGTTACAGTAAGAGCTGTTATTTGGTTTTACCAGTTGTATTAAAGAAAATTGTATACTTCAGAAAAAAATACACATTAAATATTGAATTGTTTGTTTTAAATGGTTCAAGTTGCTATTATGTTTTTGCCATTTCTGTTATTATTGATTGGCATAATGAAACGGGAGTAGCAGCCTTGTTTCATTCTGAACCACAGAATGAAATTTTTGCATTTCTCTTTTAGAAGAGTATTTTAGTTATTTAGAATTTAATTAATGGGATTTGCAATTTGATTTGTGCTTTTTAGAATAATCGTGTTTCCATTAAATTTCTACTTAGAAAGATGATTTATTGAATTGATTTCAGGCTGTGATATAGTCAATTCTGAAAATATTAGTGAAAGAATTGAAGAATTAGAAAGTGAAGATGATGAAAATGATATTGATGATGAGGAAGGGATCGAAATATATTGCACTGAAGAACTCAACCAAGTTCTTAAAATTCAAGTAATATTTGTATTCTTTATAATTTACTGTATATTATTAATGTTCTTTATTCTGTACATGTTATTAATATCAATTAAATTGAAATATGATTTATGCCTCAATTCATAAAAATGTTCTTAATATTGAATATCATTGATTGTTACAAGTGGGATATTTTGTGCCATTAGTATATGTAATAGTGGATTTAATTTAGTTCTATGGTCTCAGGATTCATCCATTGAGATAACGAGAATTTTCAGTTAGGTCATGAATTAGTAATCATGCTTATCATTCCCTATTATAATGAACATTGTTAAATATGTTTTTACAGGTCTTGCATGGTCATTGATGAGGTAATATTTCATTAATTGAATTAACTACTTTATTATTTTATCAATTTACTGGTCAGGAAGTTATCAGTCAATAATTTAATTAAACTAATCTGTGTTTCTTATCAATTACTACTTGTACATCTTTTGTTTTTTTTTTTTATTTAGTTAATGTTTATTGGGTGATTTTATGTACTTATTATTTGTAGGATGAAGAGGATGTAGATGATAAAAGAGAGCAGGAAGACAAAGAAACTAATACTGAATGTTTCATACCAGAAAAAGGTTGGAAGTTGGGAATGCAAAATATCATAAAGCGTTCTCAAACCTTTTCTCCTACAGCTACCAAACAATATATTTGTAAGGTAATGATTTTTTAAATATTATTAATAACATTATTTTTTCACATTTGTGATAAGAGAAAGAGAATTGATGATAAACAGAATGAGTGAGTCAGCTGATGATTGAATCTTCATTGTAAAAGGGCAGTAAACAAAAATTGAATTCGTAAATGATTTGGTCTGTTCAGGAAATAGTTAAAACATGCAACTCTCTATATATTCTAGGATGCAGATAATAAAGCAGTTTAAAATTGGGATTCAACAATTATTATCTTACAATGAAGTGTACTAATGGGAAGGTGATGTTTTTGGAGTCAGATGTTTAATTAGAACTGGAGTAGTTTAAATGGAGGAGGACTTCGGGTGATGTGAAAGGTTCATTGATTAGAGATCTGAGTTGGGTTACAAGTCCTGGCTGGATGTGCATCTGACTACATGGCATTGGCGTTTATATGGCATCGTAATAATTTTATCAAATGCTATTCATAACTCATCCTGCAGGGGAGCCTTGTGCATGGCTAGTGGGGAATAACGCTCCTCCAGGTACCCAAGTTCAGTACACACATAACACTACACTGTACTTGTAAACTGGCCCGAGGACCGTTACACTACTTACCTTTCTTCCTTGCCCTGGAGGAGGAGCAAGTCAGGGTGCTCCGAGGAGGCAACCCGTCAACCTGACTTGGTAAATATGACAATGCAGGACGTACAGTGTAGAGTACGCATTCATTTGGAATGCTCCTTGGAGTTTCTGACCAATAAAGGTCTGAGACAAGGTGATGTTTTGTTATATTTATTGTTTAATTTGGCTCTGGAGAAGGTGGTGAGGGACTCAAGCATTCAGACTAGAGAAACAATATTTACAAATATGGGGCAACTGGTTATGCTGATGACATAGATATGGTTGCACTCTCCTTTGCAGCTCTCGATGGTGCCTTCCTTAAATTGCTAAAAGCTGCAGCTAAGACAGGGCTCCACATCAATGAGAATAAAACAAAATATCTGTATCCAGGAGGAGAGAATTCACAAAACCAAAGAAAATCTCTCGACCCTTACACCTTTGAGAATGTCCAACAGTTCACTTATTACAATTTCTTTTGTTGCATATAAATCTCAACCTTTATTCATTAATGACAGCGTAACTCAGAAACAAAACTGATATGTGAGTTAAATATATGTGCCTGGAATATTACATTGACTTATTTGTCAAAATCAACAAACTGGAAATAGTAACAGTACATTGTATCATTGATTTTATACATTTTCTCAAAAAATGGCTGTAACATTTTTGATTAAACGTCTTATTGATATAAAATTGAATTATCTTCATTATCAGTTAGATCTTATGCTCAGTGAAGTAGTCTGGTGGAGCTTAAATGCTGATTTTTTAAAAACATATTTAGTACCTTTAATTTTGTTTATTAGAAATAATTGTAAGGTTGCTCATTTTAGTAGTTATATAAAATGGATAAACATGAACTACGAAAGAATTTGATAGAAAACTAAAGGAGGAAATTGGAGAAATGTTTGCACAGGTTTAAAGAAAATATTTCTGGAAAAGTGTTGTTTGTTATTAACTTATTTCATTTTTAATAATGAGTTTTCGAGATCAGTAATGTATATTTGTGGTTATGAAGCAAGAAATATGACTGATTTAAGTATTTCTGAAATCTGTCAGAAGGCATAAAGAATAAATTTAAAGGTTTTTGATCTGAAACTTTTATAATCACACTTTAGCTCTAACAATATTTTTTTTTTTTTTTGTTCCAGTTAAATCGGAGTGATAGTGACAGTTCTATGCCTTTATACCGGCGGAATCAGTGTGCATTTCAAAGAGGTGCAATAGAAAGGAGATCTTTGCGGTGGAGGAGTGGTAGGACTAATCCTCCGACACATTCTTCACATGTTATTGTTCCTAGAACATCACTTGATTTGGAATTGGATTTACGAGCACAGCATACAAGATTGCATGCATTACAAGATGATCTGAATAGGCTTCGAGAATTGAAGTCTAGACTTGAAGCAGCTAAAGAAAAAGGAGATGTTGAAATGGCCGCATGGGTTATGGAAGATTCTCAATTTCAAAATCTTGTGGCTCAGGTATTTTTTATTGATTTATCTACTTAGTTTAAGAATGAAAAATGGTCAGGATGTGCAATCAAAATATTATGCTTATTGAGTTTGCTGACATTTTGACCCAATTATATCATCATCAAGGTTAAAAATAAAAAAAAGTACAAAATTTCATCAGAAAAATGATAAATATAAAAGTACTTTGATAAGAGAAGAAAGAAGTGTAATGTTCAAATGAGATAACAGTAATATAAACACAACAGTTATAAAAACATTAAAATATACTATCAACATTTTTTTGTGTTATAAATAAATGAAAAGCAGAAGAGCAGGTTGGCAATGATCCAGCGGATGGCTCTACTGCAAGTCCCAGGAGGTTTAGGACAGTGTCTTACACAATGTCTTATGAGGCGGTGCAACTTCTTGCAGGAGTACCTCTCAACCTCCTCCTGCAAAAAGACAATTAAAAAAATAGATAAATCCTCCGCGAGAACACATTTGAAAAATGGAACTGGTTTTGGGTTACAACCACTAAAAGGGCAACCCTGAGAAAATATTTTCCTATTGTTGCTTCGCAGTTAGAAGCTACACGGTTTACACCTGATTACTAAGTCTCACAGGGCATGGAGACTTTCGAGCAAAGCTCTTTGCCCATGGAAAGAACATCAATCCTCTATACCCCAGTTCCGGAGTACAGGAGACTGACGAATGCATTATTGCCTGCACTGCCTATGAAACACATAAACTAAAGTGATCAGAGAAACTGTGCTCTAAGTTTTAACGAAGAAAAGTTCCCTCAGCTCATCAGCAAAGAAAATCATCCCTTCTTCGAAGAATTGATATATTAATAAAAGAATATACCGAAACCACTTCTTGGGATAGTCAGAAGGACATGTAACAGGGTGGTCGCTGGACATTAAACAGATGAGAACGATAGCCAAACTCAGAGATAAAATGACCTGGCTGTGTGTACAATATAAGATGTAATTGGGATTGACTTATTTGCAGCAGTAGGTTTTTATTTCACATGAGTAACATCCCACTGCTGCAACCAACCATATTGCCTAATGGGCAGGGAAGGGAAAAAGTAAAATTAAATAATTAAAAAATTTAGTTTTATAAAAAGTAAAAATAAATAAATCAATTTTATTAAATAAGAAGTATGTAAAGACAATGTATAGAGGTGTGGAAGGAAGGTGGTGTGGTAACAGACATTCAACTGCTATTTAATAAAAACTATTAAAAGTATCAATCTAAATATAAATGTTTAATGATAATAAGAATTTAATCTTTAATATTTATTTTGATTAAATAACTTTAATCTTTTAACATCTATATTTTGTTTGACAGTTTTTTAATATTTTCTGTTGTATGTTCATTACCACACCCCCTCCTTTCCACAATTCCCAGCATACCATTTCTGTAAGCACTCAGTTCTTAAATGGCCTTCAAACTATTCCTAATTATTAGGAAACTATTTATATTTGTTAATTTCTATTTCTATATGTTGTTTTTGGGTATTTGTTGATTTTTATTTCTATACATTGTTTTTGCATACTTCTTATTTATTAAATTGTTCTATTAATACTAATTATTTGGGTTATTTATTTTTACTTTATTGTTTGTTTATATTACTGTCATCTCATTCGAAGTTCCTCCTCTTCCATCATTTATGTAAGGACTTTTATATTGATCATTTCTCTGATGTTATTTTGTATTTTTTAATTTTTAGCCCTGATGACCCTCATCTTTGGGTCGAAACGTTGGCAAACTCGATAAACATAACTTTTTGATTGCATCTCCTGGCATGTATAGTCAACTATATACCCATCACAACCTAGTTTAATTTTCATTTAATAATAATTTTTTTCGTTCTTATGACAGTTTAGTCTCTGTAATCTGACACAGATGGGACTGGAATATGTTGAATTCAACGGAGTGTTTTTTTTTTATTATGAGGGTTTAAATAAAAACTTTCTATTATAGAAAGATAATGTGTATTAGGGGGATCAGATAGTAATGTTTTCGGTCATTGAATTCAAACACCGATCTCACACAAGTTTTTTTTACTATCATTGATGGAATCACCCTCATTATCATCAACCTTTTGTCATCTAGTGTGTAAATTTTCACGCAGAATCAATAAAAATTAATTTGTTTTTGAGCAAAATATATAGAGATTGCATTTTGGACATCATTCAAATTTGAAAATCTTTTGCCACTTGAAAAGTGTTGAAACAATCCGAACAAATAGAAATCCGATAGCGCAACATCGGGCGAGTATGGTGGATGAGGGAATATCTCCCACCCTAATTCATTAATTTTTTTCAGGGTTCATATGTATTGCGGTGATATTCTCAATGTTTTTATACCTAACCTATATGAATTTTTTTTTGGATTATGGTACTGACCGATTATTATTTGTTTTTCACATATTTTGTTCTGAAGTTGGTAAAATTTGGAATAATCAACAGAAGTTAGTTGTTTATAAACTGGACTGTAACCAAAGCTTGAAGCTTATTCTCACTTCATCAGTGAGATTCTTATTGGTTCTCCAATAAAAGCAAGCCCCCTTCACTCATACATTTTTTAGGGTACCTTTTGTTGAAGAAAAAAAATCTTATGGTCTGACCTTAAATTGGGATTTCATTTAAGTAATCCTTTAGATTAAAAATATTGCTAAGGTTTTGTTAACTAAGGAACCAGGGAAGATAACCTTTAGTCTTGCTGAGGAACATTCATGAATATGGCCCTTAAAGCTTATTACAAAAAATGTAATTTACTTATATAAAATATATGATTAAAAATTATTTAATTAAATAAAAATAAAATAAAATTTTAAAATTCCAGAATTTTTAATTTTATTGATCTGTGCTACAATTTGTTAACTGTTATTTTTATTTTATTTATTAAGGTTGATGAGAAAAGCCCAGATGATAAAAAGGTTGAAAAGTTGTTGAAGAAAACTTTCAAAGAGATCTATAAACTTCGGAAGAGTAAAGCTGGAAAAGGAAAGCCTGACTTAATTTCATTCAAGTAAGTCTCTTCTATTAACTAGGCTTAATTTTTAGTTTCATAAGATAATACAACTTATTGAATTTTAAAAATATACCAAAATAAGGAATTTTAAATTAGAGATTAAATGGAAATTGTCACTAATTATTGTCTCAGCAAAATGGAGAAAAAGAAGAACTAAGTTTGCTTTTTTTACAAGTATGTTTAATATTTGTTAAAGAAGGAAGATAGAGTGCAATAAAAAGAAAGTAAATTTTTGAAAGTTGAATAAAAGGTTTGCTTTAGGGCATTTATGGGTTCCTGTTCGTGTTTTGAAATTACTACAAAATGCTGCATTATATTTTATTCACTTACTTTACAATTTTACTAATTATATAACTTGTTCAAAAGAAAAGAAAACAGGGAAAATATTATAGACGGTTAGTATTGTTCAGGAAAGAAAAAATATAAGAGAGGCAGTGACCCAGAAAAAAATTTCTAATAAGACTCCCTATCTATTTAAAAAATTTCCAACCTTACATTTTTTTCTTGATTTTATTTAAATATTCCTTTTCTTCTTTCTTAAAATGAGAATGACATTAAATTGTGAAGATGCTTTGTCTCATTTCAATTACTGTATATTCGATAATAAACAGACAACCATAAGCCATGGCTACAAATCTTTCTGATAGAAAAAGCAGTGCTTGAGGTCAGTGCAGAAGCAGTGCGGAAGGTCCTCCGAAAAGTAAAGTAAAAAAAAACAAACAAGAATAGTTGATATCTTAAAACTACAAAAATTATTTAATCAACATTTTCAAATGAGTATAGTACGAGGTGTATTCTAAAACTAAGGTCCGTTTGATCCTTAATTCCTCTGCACAGAAGTCTGTCTCCTGGAAATTAAACCAGTTGCTATTGATAGTCATTCAATCACTTGAAAGTTTTTGGTTCACTTAATGAACAGTGTCGTTGGTACAAATACTGACATCCAAATATTCCTAGTGAAATAAAGCTTCTAACTAGAACCTACAGATGGTGTTGGGAATTTATTTTGGAGCTTTTCTTGTAGAATCTATGAACCGTTATGTATGACTACCTGCTCCACAGGTTCTTTCCACTGCTTCTCTGGATGTTTCCACCATTTTCATTCTCTTTATTTTCAATAAAAATTTTAGGGAAAATAAATCATACATAACTAAGAATATCCATATTTATCTTTGAGCAATATACATCTATATATTTTAGAGTTCTGAATACCAAAGAAGTTAAATAATCAAATAAGAATGTGCTTAAGCAAAAATTATAATTGTTTTTTCAATTTTAATTTTAATACTGATTTGTGTTTTATATTAATTGTTTTTTTTTTTTTAGTGTCTTATATTAATTACTTTTCACTACATAAGTTTTTTTTATTGGTAGTTAAATAAATGATTTACTAACTGGATGTTATAAATGCCCATTTGTGTTTTGTTATAGGGAAAAAATGGCATTTTTTACTCGAGCTAATGTCAATGTTCCTTTATTGCCCACGGAAGAAGAGTCAGAAAATATCAAAGTTGAGAGTTGTGTTCCCCAGGAGCTAGGTGTAGAAATATGATGTATACCTATATAACCTTGGAAAGCACCAAAGTGATAGCTAGAAGCAAAGATTGTGATATTTTTGGATATTTGTAAATAATTTGTTTTATTATATATTTTTCTAATATAGTTATTTTTATCAATGTAGCATTTATAAGAAAATATTTGTTTTTATATGATCATGTATTTATAAATGTATTATTAAGATTTCATTGTGTTATAACAAATAGTCATAGATGGTTACAACACAAATTTAATTGCTTCCATTAATTTTAGTTTCATTAATACTATTTAAATTATTGAACTTCATAGAACAATTTGTTCTATTTAATTTTTTTTTTTTTTTTTATTATAATGGGCAAAGTTAATTTTTTATGTGGTAATCGAACGATTTACCAAGCAGTAATAGGTGTGGAAATAATATGGAGTTCTGTATCACCCAATGTTAATAAATTTACTATAAAGTGCTAGATAATGAAAATAAAAAAAACAAAAAAAAATTACAAAAACAGGAAAGAAATAATTAAAAGCATGCTACTAAAAACCTGTAATGGAGGCAGTGGCCATGAAAGTTTATATCTCTTATGATGTACAGTTTACTTGACTTATCTCAGTGGCTTTTACTCATCAGTTGGTGATATATACCTTCAGCCTATATAAATCTTATATTTTAACTGATATCAGACATATTTAAATAAATATTTTAAAATATTGAAAAGTAGAAATAATTGTCGGATATTCTCGTGTAACATCTCAAATAAAGATATTAATGTTTTTGTAAATAACATGTAATGTTATGCTAGTATAATTTTAAAAATGTAAAATGTGAACTAGGGATGGATTTTGTTTTTAATTGTTAAGTGTTTTATACAAACAGAATGCCATATGGTAAAAATTTTTATTAGAAAAATTATTATGTTTAATAAGAAAATTATTTTATTAACCTTATTAATTATGCTTTCTGATCTATTATCAGGGAATAGACATCAGATCTCTCGTTTTTGTTACTCTCACTGTTTTGAAAATTACTAAGTCTATAATTCCTTGTAGCATGGAACTTTTAGTCCATATAATTACGGTGAATCTGTACACAACTTTTGTTCCTCCATGTTAATTGAGTTGCTGTTGATTGTTATTGTTAGTATCATCTAATATTTATATTGTTTTTGTTTTACTGGTAGAAAGAAATTTTTACTAAGGCTAATAAACCCTTTCTTAGCTCTAGTGGGAAGTTTTCATGTAGAATTATCATATAGAATTTATGTACATAATGTTGGATTCCAATTAATTTATCTCTTGTTTTTTCTGCTAAAGCCCATCAAATTTTCCAGAAGAGGCATGGATATTCCACTATCTGAATCTGTAAATAATTTTGTATTTCTTTATGTTGGTATTAACATAAGGTAAATTTTCACTTGTGTTTTTTATTATTTCTTTTTAACCCTTAGACTGCGGGAGCTCATTCGATTGTTTTTACCAGATGGTGCGCATCCTGATATCCAAAAAAGTGTTCAGAAAAACAGATTTATTTGTTTGCATAAATTATTTAAAATACTATTTTGAATCACCCTGGAAGATCTTAGCTTTCTAAAGTGCATTTTAACCTTCTTAATCAGGTTAAAATAAATGGGACATATGCCTTCCCGGCCGCCATAGCAATGCAAAATTAGAGTTGCAATCCCACAACACTTTATTGAGTATTTGCTCACTTCTGAAAAGCAAAATAACTGAACATTATCATAATAATAACTGTAAGTGATCATAAAAATTAAATTATATTATTTATTTAAAAAAAGACACCAACGGTGGGATTTGAATTATATATTTCTTTCTATTTACAAATTTTTTTCTTACCTAAACCAAGGCTCTATAAAGTGGGTACTCTTAATTGAATAACTAATTAAGGGGGAAAACATGGCGGTTGAGCGTGATATTGGCCAGTCACCTCCCTGCACAACTGTTGGCTTTGTAACAGTACTTCCTCACATTGTACTGAACCCAAAGACCCTTATGGATTCTTATTGGTACAGGTTTTTTTTTTCTTACCTAAGAAAATTCCATATTGAAACTTATAGTTACGTAGCGCAGTTATAAATTTTATTATTGCACTTACATTTATTTTGAGTTTCAAACACTTTTATATTAAATGAAATATATGTATATTGTGTTTAGGTGGATGGAAAAATGATGAAACAACACTAAGTCATTTAAATTCTGTATATTTTTACATTTATTAATTTTAACTATTACATTTTAATTTTTGTATATTTTTACATTACTTATTACATTATATATATATATATATATATATATATATATATATATATATATATATATATATATATATATATATATATATATGAATCTCTGTTTACTAAACAAAAAAATGTAAGTTTCCTACATTATATATATAAATATATAATATAGGAAACTTACATTTTTTGTTTAGTAGACAGAGATTCAATTGTACCAAAATTAGCATTCAGTCAAAACCTAAATTAAAAAAAAAGAAAAAATATAAAATTAACTTATTAACATTTATTTGATGTATAAAACATTTAAATAGAATATAAATGAGATCATGGATATGACACAAATAATAGAGAAATGACATACCTTAGGTTCAGAGTCAATCTGCAACTGATAGCTTCCAAATGGCCAGAACGACTGCACTGTCAGCTACAAGAGAATAATGAATGCACTGACCAAGCCACAAGTCAAATGTTGAAGGTGGAACTTACCCCTCCCTATCTCTTTAACACGTTAGCTGCGGTTACAGTTCCCTGGTTCCGATATTCGTCTCGACTTCAGTAGGAATTGTTTTGAATTTTGCCTGTTTTACAAAGTCTCTAAAATTGTCATTTTTAAAAATATTTGAATGGGAATTGGATGGATGTAAAGATAGATAAAAATGTAAATAATCATTTTATCTGATATAAAGCTATAGGACATCGGGGACTGTAACTGCAACTAACGTGTTAAGTGGCAACAGCCAAGGCGGGAAGGCATATACCCTGTCCGCACCTGTGACCCAATTCACTGCCGGAAAGGCATATATCCCGTTCGCACCAGTGACCCAACTTTTAACAGGAAGGCATGTATCCCGTCCGCAGTAAAAGGGTTTACTTAGCAGGTACAAATTTTTAAATACAATACAGTCAATTTTGCATTAGGCAGCAGTTAGGAATTTCTCCCACTAAAACCAGCTTGGTTCTGTATAAATAACTTATCATCACTCAATGTTTAATCAGTAATGAAGAAAGCCTAGCCTGCATGTAGGAATTGGCACTTACTTTCTATCTTTTTTGTTATTACCTTCAGAAAGTGTAAAATTCCTTTAAAACAGAAAGAGATAAATAAAATTGAAAAAAGGTATCGCTCAGAACATACCTAGCTCGTAACCCACCATGGGATATCTACTCTTAATCTCCTTGGATCTATGTAAATAAATTTTAGTTCCTTCAGGTCCAGTTAATAAGTTTGTGTTCGACTTCTGTCACTGTTCAACTGTCTGCATTAGTATTAATGTATTTTATTTTTTAATGAAGGAAATTCTGCAACACCTATTTTGTTATCTATTTATTTTGCTTATATATTCTCTTGAGTGTCACTTATATTGAAATTATTGGCAGTTTCAAGTAATTAAATAAAGAAATAGGTGTGTTAGTTTTTTAACTTCAGTTTCTTTAAATTTTATTTTGTGTTAGTTTTTTAACTTCTGTTTCTTTAAATTTAATTTTTTAGCTGCTAGCCAGATGGAAATTTCATAAAGAAAAGACTAAGTCCTTTTTTAGGTGTCAGGGAAATATCTGATTTTAACCCTCTAAACATTAAATCATTGCATATGACTTGTTCTTCCATGTCCCTTATATAATTGAGTAAGTCCATGAGTTGGTAATGGTTTGACCTCGGAAATTGTAAATTCCTACCAAGCACTTAGTTAATGCAATGTATGATTTTTAAAAATTGAAACCAGCTCAATGCTGTGTAAATAATTGTTTACTATTTTTGTCCTAATAATAAATAAGGACTCTGTAAGTTGGTACTTGTGACTGTTAACTGTTTTTTAACCCAAGAAGATAAAAGTTTTCAGATTAATAGATAGATCTTTTCCTTTACTTTTAGTATAATAGTAATAGTAATTGTTTAGGAATATCATCCAATAGATAATTGATTAAGTTTGTATGTTGAAATTATAGACTTCTGTCTTGGTTTATTTTACACAAGAAAGTGGACATTTTCAAATAAACTTGACAAAACTCATTCTTAACCATAATATAGGATTATTCCTACAAAAACCATCTTTACTGTTTTTTTTTCCATCTCTAATCAGCTAACTTATGTAAGTCTTTATATTAGTATGTTCTACCTCTTTTCAACTGTATGTATGTGTATATTTATTGTTACATATTGGTTTATATTCTTTCTTTTTTTCATGTTATAATAGTACCTATCTAGAGTTTGTAGTTTACTTTAGAACACTAAGCACTTTAAAAACTACAGATACAGAATTTGCTTCAGTTTCAACTTAATTGTCACCAATAATTCGATTCCATGTTTTGATTCATTTTATACATTTCTCTATTTTGTAAAGAGCTATTTGATTTTTTTTTTTTTTTTTTTTTTCGTTTACTGGTCTTAATGCATTGCGTCTTCACCAGACCTATTGTGAATTATTTGATGGTTAATAATTGCCTCTTGCATTCAAATCCGTCCTGTTAAATAGTCTCTTATTCTGCCTTTGTTTGTATTGTGTATCTCTTTTATTTTGTCTGTTTAAAGTGTGATGTTGCTGAGCTACTATAATTATAGCCTAATGGAATAGTATGAACCAACCTGACTCCTAAATTAGACTATGCCCATCCTGCAAAGCACATTTGTCATTTTGTCTTTTTAAACAAATATTTAATACATTGTTGCTGTCTTATCGATATTCATGGAAAATTGTTATAGTTTGAATGTCTGCAGTCCTTAGAAGCCCAAATTCGTTTATTTTATTATTATTTTTTTTTTATGATTTCTTGATTTTTTAAGTCAATGTTTACTCTATTAATGTATTCTCTACTCCATGTATAAAATCAAAACAAACTGTCCCATGAATGATTTCACTATCATTATTCAAAATGTTGTTTAAAATTAATGTTTTTCATTTTAGCTATATCTTTCCTGCTTTAATATTTAATATGCCATTAGAAGATATGTCTTTTTATGGAATATAATTAATTTAATAAGGTACCTTTCCCCATTTGGTTCTTATGTAAGTTGAATAATGAGCATTGTTTTGATAATTCTCAGTGTTATTTGGGACCTATGTTCTGATCAGTGTAATACACTCTAGTATTTTGTTTTTTAACTTTG